TGGTTATCTTAAGTAAGTTAATAAGCAACCAAAATAATATGTATAGCTTCATAAACAAAATCGTTCATGCATGCCTGTTGTTTAGTATATGAAGGGAATAGATATTTTGACCTTGTTATAATGCATTATTTACTCAATAAAACTACAAAACCAAAGAAAAAACATTATTTAGTTCTATACTTATTAGATTATAGTATATTATCAAAATTTTTATTATCAGTAGTTTGACATTTATAAATTTTTAAAGCTTAAATTGTTAGAATTATGTTTCTTTTTTTAAACAATATAAAAAATAAAATATGAGAAGGCAAGGGACAGTCAGTACTAATTGTCAAATAGTTGAAAGGAAAATAGAAATAAACTCATACACACTTCTTGTTTATTTTTGAAAATGTGGTATGAAGATGTAAATATGAAAAATCATTATCCATTTAGATACTCCCATTTTGGAGCTATTAAGTAAGAAAATTAAATACTTTGTCCAGTTATGGAGATTAAGTATTACAATCATTTATTTATTTACTCAAAAGTTTAAAGATTTGCTGGTTAGTGACAATAGACCGCAAATTTAATTATTTTTATTTTTCATGAAGCTGGAATGTTATAAATGTCAAATTACTGGATTATTATACTTCCAAATAATGTAAATAACTGTTTTTTCTTTGGTGCACCACCAAGAAGCAGTACGTGTGCAATATAATTACAAAATGTGACACTTGCAAATATGTCCCTCCAGAAGTTTATGGTACGTCTCCATTGTGCCTTTTCCTTTTTTCTCTCTGGTGACTGTACACAATTTTACATGTTAGTTTTAAATCTTTGAAAGAGTAAGAGAATATAAAAAAACAAAATATTTTTTCTTTGGTGTCTATTAATAGAATAATTATTAGGAAAGTACTTTAAGCATTATTACATACATCTAAATATGAATTTAGATTGGTTATTTATTATTTTTTTTTATCTTTCCTTATTTTATATTTGTACAACATAAATAACATTAGGTAATTAGAAACTATGAAAAAGTAATAGAAAGTTTAGGGTTATAATAGAAGTTACAATAACTACACGCATATCTCAATAGGTTGAAAAGTGAATCATTAGCATCTTTTATATAGGAGTATTTTCCAATATAAACACACCATGTATTTTTAGGAAAAATATTTAAAACAGACAGAACATCCTTTTAAAAGGATGCTAAAGATGTTAACTTCACCATTATTTTCTTTTAATGGGTGAAAATAGAAAGCAATCCCGACTGCACCATAGAGCGAGTTACATACACTGGGCGAGTTATAATCAGTTAGGATGAAAGCAGGTTGATTGGCTCATCATGGCAAATTAATTAAGAATTAACTATGATAGTTTCCAACCAAACCACATGGAGATCAACCTACATGGATACATTGTTACCAATAGGGTTTTGATATCCCATTACTAATAATCACTTTCCCCCAACTTTACCATATAGTACTTATATAGGTTTTAAAAATATACCTTAATTCTAGGCATAGTGACTGTAGGTGGTTCTGCTACTGACACATAGATACAGGCTGATTTATTTTTTAATAACTGTCCAGTGTAAGGCATGTATTCTTCTGTTGCAAAGTCATATCGCAAGCCATCAATCACCATGAGGATTACTGTGTTCTCACCAGAATTGTACACTTCATGACCATCAATACTGGAAAACAAACAATTGTACAAAATAATAATAGTTTAAAATGATACAGAGGGCTATTGTCCTTTATTGAAAAATGCAGTATTATATCTATTTTTGAAATGTAAATAAATATAGATTTAAGTTTAAAAAGATTGCATAGAGTTAACAATAAAATCATTTATATTAAGCCTTAAAGAATGAGTTATATTGACAAATTTTATGATTAAGTAAAAAAGAATTAAACTTTTTATTTTTATTATAATCTATACATGCATAAATAATCACCCTAATGGAATAAAAACTAATTTTTTGGATTTATATTTTCCTTAGTTTTATTACAATGAACTTGATTTAAGAAAAAATATTACTTACCTGACACCATCAATAAAGTTAGGCAAGTCATCCATATGGGCCAGTGTTCCTGAATGATATTTTAATGGAAAAAATCCATAAAGGAACAACATTAATGCCCCTATAGCTATAACAAGGAGACAAAGGCTTGTCCATCTGTTCTGCAGCCAGGACTGCATGTTTCAGATGACGATATTATACTAATTGCCTAGTAAAGTTAAATAACCGCACACGCCGGTATTGCGTTAATGAAAAATCGAGATTGCAAACATAAATCACAATGTATACTCAGTATTACACCTATGAATTTCCCGGCAAAATCAGGTTTGGCAATCAATTTAATACGTCTGTATGCATTATATAATTGTGTAGTGAAAATGAATATACAATTAATTGAAATATAATACAGAACTATTTTGTATTGTATGTAATTAATATATTGTTTACGATTACTTCATTTCAATTTATATTATTATTTCATTTCATTGGCAATTAACATTGACCCTGACGTTGACGTTGTCAAATTAACTGTCAGTGTCAAAGTTTTTTATAAGTACCCATAGAAGTACCTTTGAATATCTTTGCAGTTACTATTAAAGATTTACTATGACTCAACAATTTTTTTTTATTTTAAATCCTTTGATTTTGAACTATAATGTGCTTTAATAGAATTTAATTAAATCTAATCTAATGAATAATTAATCCAACCGACTGACTGAGTCATAACTGATTATAGTCTGTGTTCCACTGCTGGGCAAAGGCCTAAATGTTTTCACCTCGCTACTTTCAGTAGCTTTTAAGGCGTATCCGTCCTTGTAGAATAGGTCGAAATTATTTTTGCATCGTGTACGAAGCCTTTGAAGTCTTTCGCGACTTTTGGATTTTTGGATTTGCAGGGGGCCAAAATATATAGATTTCGACTCATCTTTCGCTTGGTATGCGATACGGTTGCAGTAAAAGTAAAAAATGGAATAATTGATTAAATGTTTTGATTTTTGTTTTTAATGGGTGACAGTAAAAAGGAGGAACCGCGTGGAGGTCGACTTGACAGGGTGTATTGCTGCCAATGGCGCAGCTAGACCCCATTACCAACAATCTCTGCCCCCCTTTCGATATTGTTACTAAATTCATTTAGAGAGTGTTTAATTTTGTAATGATGTAAACAAAAATTGATTGCTTTTTTATTAAGTTTTATTGAAACACATTAGATGATATTTGAATATAAAAGAAAAATTGTCTATTAAAAAGGGAAAAATCCGTATAATATAAAAGATTAATTTCTTAGTTCTAATTACGTCTTTTTTAAAATATTATAATAACTCTGCTTAATCCGGGTGCTGCCTGCATTTTTGGTACTTAGATGCTGGCCAGGAATTAGTAAAGGATGATGTGAATTCAGTTGGTTCACCGAGACGAATATGGTTCACAGGGAGGATCGTATACAGGTCTACCTAATAATGCTAACAATGCCCCCAACTAAATAAATTATTGCTTAAATTTTTGTTATAATCTAATATCTATATTATAAGTGAATATACAAAAGCATATAAATAAATTAATAAATATGTCGTCTTTATGTTTATTTAAAAATATTTTAGTAAAACATCACAACATGACCATAAGCATTGTGCGTCATAAAGTATTATTAATATTAGGTACATATTATAAAAGTAATTGAGCGACTGCATGAAAATACAAGAAACGTTATTATTAGATATTTATTTTTATTCCTGTGATGATGATGCGAATTGTTACGTAGGAAGGAATGACGATTTAATACGTAGACGATTTATGAATTTAGTACATTAATTAGGTGTGTAGTGTAGGGACCAAAATATTTAAATGAGTAACAAAATTATATTTAATGTCTTATTATTTTTGAGTAGGTACTCCTATTTTCCCGTGGGATTTCTTTATACAAGTTATAATGATAAACAAGTTGAAGGTCTGCCTGATGGCAAATAATAACATAAATATCACCATGGAGATCATATAATACTATGACGCCCATGATATATCTCATACATTTATATATTCCCGAGGACTATTGCGTTTTGGAATATGAGAATTTAACATCATAAGTACTTTTAGAAATATTGGTCTATACTGTGCATTGTCTGTATATTTATGACAGTAATTACAATATTGCGGTAACCAACATTTGTGTTTTTATCACTTTTTTTAGTCATAAAAATATTAAGTATTTTCCTGAAAACAATTGGGAAAAAACTCCAGAATTTTTACCTTCTTAACAAAGTACATTATTGTGCTTATCAGTTTGCAACTCGTTGGGTCTTAGATGTTATCGTATTATACTTATAAATGAGAAAGTTTGTATGGGTGGCTGGATGGATGTTTGTTACTTTTTGACGCAAAAATTATCAATTGAACGGATTTGAATGGAATTTGGTATATGGGTAGGTTATATCCCAACTTAGCATATAAGTAGGATACTTCATTTACTTATTAATTCACGTGGGCAAAGATATGGGACAGAGCTAATATGCAATATGTACCTATAACAGAAACTGGGGAAATTACAGGTGTGCATACTTTGTTTTGTGTGCGTGTGTGTGTGTGAGGGGAGAGGGAATAAATTGTTAGAAATAGTGTCTAAGAGCCCCATTGCTAGCAATATACTATATAAGGTCGACCTTCACGCGGTTCTCCTTGGAAATTATCGCGATTAATTCTTGTGAAATTCGTTTCGATGGGCTGACTGACCATCCTCACCTATCATCTATCACTGGTGCCCCAAAAGCGTATATCGATAGCGCAGACGAGGTTACTATACTATTATCATCCATAAAAAAATCTTTGTTTTGTGTCATTGATGATTGCGAATTGATGGTAAGTGTTTGTATTAATAGACCTTCACCTTTGTCAGAGGAACAGTAAATTGTCACAACATGATTCCACTAAATGTCATAATCATCAATATGATATATTACAGCAGATATCAACATCATCATCATAAATATTAATATCAGTTAATAAATAAATGGCTGAAATGATGGATACAACATTTTTCTGGACATAATTAGATTGTGTGGCACAAAAAAACCGACTTCATTTGTGATAAAATTAGTTGTCTTGTACTAAAAACTAAATCGATTTTGATAAAATTTCTATGGTGCCAATCTGTAAGTTTATCTTATCAGATAGAAAAAAGCAAATCAGTTTAGAACCGACGGAGTTATGAGGCATAAAAATACAACCGAGTTGAGAAACTTCTTCTTTTTGAAGTTGGTTGAGAATATTTTTTTTTTATGGGTGAAAATGGTATGGTTACCATACCATGCCCTGCCTGCACTAACAGTATACGCTTGCGGAGCGCCAGTGAAGGGTGATAGATGAGAATGAAAACAGGCTAGTTAGCCCATTATGATGAATTCATCAGGTACCAACCATACCATAATAGTTTCCAGGGAGAACCTCGAGGAGGTCGACCTGGTTGCTAGCAATGGGATTCTCAGTCTCCATTACTAACAATCCTTTTTCCCCCGTTGAGAATAAATTGTCAACTGCAAGATATGAACCCCTCCCGCGCTAAAGAACGCTCCCGAGCATTACAGTAGTATGGTCACCCTACTGCTTCCAAGTTCAAGGTGTGTTCCCGTTGACTCAGCTGAGTGTGGGCAGCTGAAAATTCTATTTAAAACATACTGGTGTAACGTAGTGATCCATAGTGTTTGGATCAGAGCAGCGCGCGCCTGCAACGAATCACTACCTACCGCAAAGGTAACGATATACCTAATTATTATGTATTCTAATCAATCAGATGGATAAATAGTTCGTTTTCTAATAATAGCAGTGTTTGCTTTAATAATCAAGTGTTTCTTATATACATTATTGTGACAATTGATTGAAAAGTTTTATATATAATTTAGGTGTCTGTTTTTGTATCTTTCGATTGTAATTCGCACTACTTTAACTAATTGTAAACATGTGAATTTATGTGTGATATATATTTTTTCGAAATGATTTACCTAAAATTATAAATAAAAAAAATTTAAAGGTAAGAATACTAATCCATATTTCCGACAGACCTGCCTGTCTTTAAGAGTGGTAATGCATACCGTGCACTGCATGCTCATGGTGCAATAGGAAGTACGTTCCATAATATTGAAGGTATCATTAAACATTTGTGTGTGTTTATGTCTATCACAGAGTTGATGATACCTGCCATTACTCATTGCAGTACATAGTGTGACATGTAATAATGTCAATTGTAGAAGGAGTTTTTATTTTAAATAGAATATTAACACAATATATACATATATTTTATGTAGAGTAAAGCATAACATTATTTTGAAAACCGTTAACCATAGAGTAGATTATAATTATCTGTATTTACTTTATGCTGTTAACAAACGTTATTCCGTCGTATTTTTACTAAAAGAGACGAAAAAAGCTTCGACTGAAATCTATTATTACATCTTGCAAGAGCATTATATATTTTTAAAGTATAGGTGGATAATATGAAAACATATTTATGCTCTTTCGCAACAGATTTAGCGAAGTCAACAAACAGATCGTCTAAAATTAGCTCCTCTCAAGCGTAGATATTAAAATCGATGTCGCTTACGTTAATAGTGTGAAGAAATTGAGTTCAGTTGCATCATTGCTAAAATGGTACCCAGGTGATTCACTCGTGGAATCGTTCCAGAACAATATTTTGTATAACCATTTATTGTTTAGGAGTTGCGTTATTTAGGGTAGCAACTCACGTGCGATGCGATAGTTATGCAGCTACAAACAATGTTTTGAAATATAAATACTTAGTCACGACCATGAGCGAAAAAATATATTTAGGTAGTACGAGTTCTATAGAGGGCGTTCAGTCCAGTGTTTTTTTCCACGATTCCGACAGTATTAGATGAAAAATGAGACTTTTATGTAAGGCTGATAAGTGTGATAGTTTTAATATATTTTTTTATAAAACTATGAATGGCAAAGAAGTTGACGTTTTACCTGATGTAAAATAGTAAGCATCACCTATAGACATGAACAAAATTTCAATACAATATCTCTATTTTGGAGGCAAGGGTTTATAAGTAAGGGCTATTAACGGCTCCATTGTCTGAAATATACCAGGTCGTTCTCTAAGCACTCTTCCTAAAAACTATTGTAATTTGTTCTTGATGAATACGTCGTGATGGACCCAATTCTTCAATGGTTCTCCCAACTTCGAATAACAGTAACCCTGTCTTCGATATGCACTAGTCATTATTGCATTATTGTGTATTAAAAAAAAATATTCTTCTCTGCTTAAATGTTATAAGGTACTATGTAAAATAAAATTAGTGTAAGCGTGGCTTGCAGTGGACACAAAGCATAATATCCAAAAATATCTTCGCATTGAAATTTCGTTGTTTATCTCCACCGACTGGCTGTAGAATGGTAGACATTGTTGTTGATTTATCTGTTCTTGACGTTTCTTCTTGTTTTATGAACATTGTTCGCAGTTAATGACGTATCTCTGTACATTTTATCACCGTCGCAATATTGGCATCTAACAAATCCTCAATTTACGTTTATTATGGTATAAAAAAATTCAAGTGAAAGGAAATACTCGTAATTTTGTCTGTTATCACGATTAAAGTATGTACGAGTATAACAGACTCGGATGAAAAAATCTATAGTTTTTCTTTCCAATAATTAGTGATTGCATAGTTGCAAATAGGTTGCTTAAGTCACAATAATATTATATTATCTTAAATATATATATAAATAACCTGCATCTATATTAGGTAAATGTGGAGGTAAATAAGATAAGGTTGATTCCTTCCTTTTTACTGATACCAAAAATATATACCAAGAATCTTGGATATTTGTTAGATATTTAATAATGGAACGGATATCCTAGATGGTTGTAGGGCTGTCTTATGATTTATAGATTTTGTCGATAGTAGGTATGTTTCCATTAGGAATTTCCATAGTACATTAGTATATAATTTATGAATAGGTACATAGATATATTTAAAAAATAATGTTATATATATGTTAATTTTCAGATGTCGATAGTACCAATGATGTTCCGTGACTGGTGGGATGACTGGGACCGTCCTTCACGACTATTCGACCAGCACTTCGGCATGGGCCTCCGTAGAGACGACCTTATGTCGTACCTTTCCACCTTCCCCTCTACCTCTCTGAGGAATTCCTATTTCAGACCTTGGAGAACAAGCCTTACCCGACAGGAATCCGCATCGACTATTAACTTCACGAAGGATAAGTTTGAGGTAAGTTATTATTTTTCATTAGCTTTTACCTATGATTTCGTCCTCGTGACCAAGAATATGTTTACTGACCGGGATAAAAAATACCCTGTAACCTTCTCCGTCTCATACAGTACGTGTATGCCAAATTTCATAGTGATTGGTTTAGTCGTTATGGCGTTATAAAGTAACAAACATACAAAAACACTTTTACATTTGTAACATTAGTAAGGATTATACTGTCATAATAAGTATTCGAATCAAGAATCAATTCGATACACCTTTGGACTCTAGTGGTTTCCTATTTCAAAGATAAAAAAACAAAATTTCTTTTATAAAACAAGGCAGTTACAATCAAGCATATAGTGCGTCCGTAGACTCAATATAATGTACTAACTGATGGTAAATTGTTAGCTTATAAACATTTTCAGTACAAGAGATATCACTTGTGCTTTGGCGAAATCATGTTTTGTGCTACAGTTTCTAGTGATTAATATACGTCATATTTCATTCTTCAGCAGAAATATAAATAAAAAATACAATAAGCATAAAAAGAGAAATACTTTTCCTATGTTGGATTCAAATACGGTCTTCAAGAGTTATTATCATCAAAAGAATAAAATTCCCTTATAACTTATGCATACTCGTTTTTTATGTTTCTCATTATACTTGCTTACCTAATGTACGCAGAAAAAGCTGCGGGTTAAACTACGTATTATATATCGAAGAACAAAGTTTAATTCTAAATAATGGCTAATAAAAGTGTGGGGTGGCATTCATTTAATTATTTATTTTACACTTTATTGCAATAATACCACATGAACTAATTATATGAATTAATAATAAAAAGATTTGATTTTTTGTCTGTAATAAATAAATTAAAAAAATACTTATTAGGTTTCAGAAATTCGTTTACATGTTTTTTTTTTACTGGATGATAATGAAATGATGACCCCGTCTGCGTTATCGGTATATATTGGTGGGGCACCAGTGAGGGATGTTTGGTAAAGATGAAAACGCATGTCAGTTAGCCCATCGTGACAAATTTAACGGTAAATTAGTCACGATAGTTTCCAGGAGGAACCGCGTGGAGGTCGACCTGATTGATCTCTCCTCTCTAATCTCCCCATTACTAACAATCCTTTCCCCCCCTTCGTGTACATGTAGAAATTATAGTATTAGTGAGATCGTGTCGCTACTACATGATATAAAAATAAATTGTAAAAATTTATAATTCACAGGTTATCCTTGACGTACAACAGTTCGCGCCAGAAGAGATCGTGGTTAAAGCGGCGAACAACTCCATCGTAGTCGAAGGCAAGCACGAAGAGAAACAGGATGAGCACGGGTTCATTTCCAGACAGTTCACGAGACGGTACGTCCTACCTTCAGGGTACGAAGTGGCCGATCTAGTCAGCACTCTATCGTCGGATGGCGTTCTCACGATCACAGCGCCTAAACGACCACCGCCTCAAGCTGGAGAGAGGATTGTTCCTATAACCAAAACCGGGCCAGCCAAACAGCCCGAGCCTCCCAAACCTGCAGAACAACCGAGGGAACAGACTGTACCAATCGTTACATCACCCTAAGATGATAAACTATCGATGTCCCATACGATCGAATCATAAATAGCATTTATTTTATACTCGTTGTTGGCCAATAACGATAAGCCACACGATTCGAAATGAACGAAATAGGTTAAAGAGGAATGCAATAGATTTCATATCAATCATAAGTTGAAATAAATAATTATTTTCATATAAGTAAATGTGTATTTTTATTTAAATTGATCATGATACTACATTCTATGAATAATACCTAGAGAAAAAAGCGCGCGGAAACGCCAGCTGTTTAAAGGATACGAAGATGGAGAAGACAATAAATATGAATAACAGATAATAAATAATATGTATTTAGTTCTTGAGTGACGTTGTATGTGCGCCGCAATATCTAGTCTTTACCCAGTAAACGGAGAAATAACTCCAGTTAAATTGCACAAAGTTGGTGGTAGTAGGAGGCTCAGAAAATTCTTTCCACCTCGAACACTTTATACATAATTAAACTACTGAACCGATTTCGATAAAATGTATGAGACTATTCCATAAGTATATATAACCCTTCAGATAAGAAAACAATTTTCGTAATCGGTTTAGAACTGACGGAGAATGATGAGGTAACAACCTCCCAGACATCAAGAGACGTAAGAAAAGAGAGAGTGAGATCATCTCTAAAGGAACAGAGAGTACCCATACTATATGGACTAGGACCTACGTATATTATGTTAGAAAGCAATGAAGGTCTATATTTAGTAGGGTAAAGGACAAATCCTAAATAATGATTATGAATGTTTTATAAATTATATATAACAACGTATTCAATTTTGGACAGTTTCATTTATACCAATAATTCTAACACATCTCTTTCCGTAACACTTATCTTTATATTCATAAAAACTAAAATGTCATACAAACCTACAACTACCTGTATTTTAGCTATTGAAATGTTTTGTCACTTTCTGTCTTTCTGTCAAATTGAGATTTTAGGTCAAAAAAAAAAAAAGACAAATCACTTCAATAGCTAAAAAAGATTTATGAGAGGTTTGACGTTTTTATGAATAAAGGGCTTATTGTTCTGCTTTTAGTAACAGATTATAGATAATTAATAGATAATTAGTTGGTCATAGCGGTATGCGAATCCGAATTATTTTGTTATTCAAATAATTTGTTAATTTAATTTTATAATATTAGGAGATTGACAAACAATAACAATCCAGTAGGCAACTACGTTCTTTTAAAATATACATAATAATTAATTATGATAAACTGATTTTACTACTTAATTTACTTATAAATATCGAAAGTTGCAAATTTTTACTAAATACACTAAATTGGCAACACTATTAACAAAAAAAGGACATTCGAGCAATCGGGTCGACTCGGTTATGTTCGTACCGACTCGTACATGAACAGCTACTAATAAATGATTTTAGCGATTATTTAGTAGACGCGTATAGTGAATGAAATTACTAATCGGATAAAATTAGTAATCAACTGATTAGAAAATCACTCGAATAATTCAAAGAGTTGTTCAATTAAATAATTAGCAGATGTGCGTATTAGTAAATTTACGCATCGCTAGTTGATCTATGTTGGAAAGTTTTAATGTTTTCTTATCTGTCTATCTATCGTATCTATAAAATAACATGGAAGCTACTTCTCTCCATACCTTCACTGTCACAAAAATTACTGAGAAATATTTAACGAAGTATTTCTTTTGAACAGCGCTAACCACAGCCATACATTAATGTTTAGCAAATGCAAAATGCCGCAGAAGGCAATAAACGATATCCCACACAGACGGACAACAAATTATGAATAATTCTTTCACTAGTTACTAATAAATAGCTAGTGATGTACCGACATCATTATTAGTATGATCGATAGATTTGAATCAACTTACCTTCTTTATTGAAATCTTGAATGAATTACTATTATCCAATATCTCTCATTTAAACAAAAAATAATCACATTTTGAGGTTCTGAATTCGATTATATTTTTATGTTACCTCATAACTTCGTCAGTTATAATCTGTTTTGGAAAATTCTTTTTTAATCTAAAAGGATATACTTACAGATTCGTTCCTTAAAATTTTATCGAAATCGGTTCAGTGGTTTAGTTTTAAAATTAAAAGAACTGGTTTTGCTACAATTGAAATAGTTTATTTTGTTGAATATAATTCTATTCATCCATTAGCCTTTTATGACCTAAGTTATGTACATTAATAAGATAGTATACTTTGTTGTATTAGTCACGGTATTCAATTAAATCTTTAAACTAAATATGTTTTTGTAAATAAAAGAATTTCTGTATAATCTTTCTATTATACGTAGTAACTGAAATCTTTTCCGATGTTATGTAGTTACTTATTTAGTATTTTTTTTTATCTTATCTATACTTCTATAGTAATGTAGTATAAAGAGGAAAGATTTGATTGTTTGTTTGTTTATTTTAAAAATTGTTTTATCAATTTCAGCTATATTATCAGTGTAACAGACTTTAATATATTCTAAAAATTCTATCTACCCGTACGAAGCCGGGTCGCAACACTAGTTATACCTATAAACAATCATACTAATTACCCGGTTCTCAAACTAGGAGACAATATGAGAAACAATTCAATCAATATCTGGAGACACAACCTAGTACTCCCGGGGGAAAAGGGATTGTTAGTAATGGAGACTGAGAATCCCATTGCTAGCAATATACCCAACCAGGTCGACCTCCTCGCGGATCTCCCTGGAAACTATCATGGTTAATTCTTGATGAATTCATCATGATGGGCTAACTGACCTGTTTTCATTCTCATCTATCACCCTTCACTGGTGCTCCGCTAGCGTATCCTGTTAGCGCAGGCGGGGTTACCATACCATTTTCACTCATCAAAAACAAACCTAATACTCCCAAACACGAGTGATTTTCTCTAAATTGACCCGACGGACAATCAAACCCGGGACTTCGAGTACGCATAGCAACCCACCTATCTTTGCATTACGGAGGTAATCTCTTTTGACGTAACTCATTTAAAAGTACTTAAGTACTAATTATATCGTAAACATATTTACCTGTACAAATCATACGGCACAACTCTCCTGCCAAGCATGGCAACAATTGGCAACCCACCCCAACAGGGGGAGACCTATGTTCAGCGGTGGACAGTTAATGGCTGATATGGTATCATATGGCATATCTTCCTACCTTCTCGTAGCCAGTTTAGCCTTTCGATAAAAAGGCTGCTTGCAAGTAGATAGGCAGAGAGTAAATTTAATTTACATTCAACTATTGTATCTCGTATCTACCTGCATGCATGTTGGCTCTGGAGGTTTTTCCCATCACTCACAGCAAAGAGAATCTCACTTCACATCACTAAATTGTGGTAAGACACATGTAAAAATGTCAAAGTGTACATACAAACATTGTATAATTTAGCACGGCAAATTGTCCTAGAGAGCAATAAGGGAGGTGTTTGACTAATTTAATTTTCTCGCTGAGTCTCGCCGTTCAATAATATTGTTAATTTATCATTGTGCCACGGGGGCTAGGGAGGAGTGAATGCCGATGCCTTCCGAGTTTCTCGTTTAAAGTGGACTGTTTATTTTCAATTACATTTTTTTTTTATTTATTACACTCTACCTGCCGTGTTCGAAATTTAGCGCGTTTCGATAAATTGGTATATTAAAAGTATTTGATTTACATAAACAGAAAATTTCAAGACTTTGTCTTAATGTAATAAGTAACATCCTAAAATTAAGAGTACATTCCTTTTCAACCTTTAGAATAAAGACGAGGATCTTTTTGTCTATTTCATCTTTTGAGATTTTTATTAGTTGCACTTTAGAAAAATTAAAATTCCCGTGTCATGATGTTTGTTCATGTTGATCTCCGAAATCGCTCAATTTATATTAATGATATTTTATAAATGTGTACAATATGTGTTCCCAAAAAGGGTTGACGTCAGGCAGGTGGCCGGTCGTAAAAAAAAAAAACCAAATCTTTTTGTAATATGGATAAAATCATTTTACGCCGACCCCAAATGATTAGGATAAGGGTAGGAAGATGATGATTTTATAAATGTGTACTTTTTGGGATATATGATAATTGAGAAATATAACAATTAAATTTTATATAATCAAATATAATTTACTATTAATTTACATGTAATAATGTTTTAACAAAAAATAAATAAATTAATTATACCTTTTATTCTAATGTGAAAGTAAAATGCTCCTAGTAGTGTAGTGTAGGGAATTTATCGTCATTTTTTTTATACAACTTAGAATGGCAAACAAGCTGACAGCCCACCTGATGGAAAGTAGTAACCTTAACGTTAATATTTCTGATTTGATATTTGACTGTAATAAGTTTTAACGGAAATATATTTAAGTTTTTTTTTTTAAATATAAAATCGAAAGATGATTAATTGAAAAGATTGTCTTAAATAATAAGCAAAGCGCCATCTATAAAATGTTACTGTTTCTATTAGGATAATTATAGATCACTATACTCGTAGTTTTTATGATCTATAGGCACTAATAACTTGTAACGCCATCTAGAGGTAATACCCATAACTATTGATCTATAACATCATTCATTGTGTATAAAAATTGTTATGTTTGGGTTCTCAGCAGTCATAATGTTCTTTGTGTAGGATATTTAGTGGGTTTTACCTATTTATTATCCTTCTTAGATGCAAATATGAATTATTATAGAAATGAATTAAAAAATGTATTTTAGGTATTTAATCATCATTATAATCATTGATCACTGATATTGTTAAAAATATTTTTCTACTGTACTTTTTTATATTTTTCTACTGTACTTTTTTATATTTTTATTTGCAATGCTTTTGTATTAATATATTAATATTATTCAATATTATTTCTTTGATTATGTTATTTTCATTGATTAATTTATAAGAAAAGAATATAAAGATTGTTTATTCATAATTTAAAGTGTAAAAAAGATGATGTTCAATTAGATTTCTTTTTGCGTAATGTTCAGTTATCAACCTTCAAATTAATAACAACAAAGTGCAAATTAAAAGTGAAGCTAGCAAGCAATGTAGTAATGTAGTCTGGGTAATAGATCTCGTAACCATGGATCACTCAAGTCTAAACGGGCGGTGGAGTCCACTGGCCGGGGTACGCGGGTGGGAAGGGGGATGGGTTCATCAATCAGCTCGGAGCGATTACTGGCCCGATGGTCTAAGTT